AACTGCACTCGAATTTACAATGAATCCGGACACGAATTGTGATGCAATAACGATTTCATTTGTGGGACTTGTATCAGCCGCGATTAATTTTTTGTATACTCTACAAGGTATCATATGTACAATTCTGGTTTCATTTCCGATCTCAATAGTTTGCGTGGAGAATGCAGTCACCGCGCAATAGGACAAAACGCCACCTTGCATAAAAGCTGTGCAGAACATAGTTATGTAACGGCCTATCTTTGCATGTTTTATCATTACTTGTTGATCTTCCATTTTCCTTACGATTTCCCAATCTCTCTGCATATGTTCAATACAATACCGTATCTCTTTGTTCCGTAGTAACAACGTGGTATAATTAATACCACCTACCAACCAATGACTCAGTGGACCGAGCACTTTCAATTTCTCATGAAAACTGTCATCTTCCAAGATCACGTGCAATAGGCAAGGAATTACGGTGAAACATATAAAACAATAACACCAAATAATTAAAACGAAAGAAATAATTTTCTCGAGTTTTGTGGTAGATGAAGATGAAGGCCATGCGCCTATTGATTTCAAAAACCACCGATTTAACTGTACACTATAGTTGCTGAGATTGTGATTGTTCTGTTTGATCGGTACAAACTTGTCGATCATCGTGGCTACTCGCAAATACGACTGAATCGAATATTTTCCATGAATGAAGCATGGATATAGTTGTACAACGCTTGCGCGAAGAATTTTTTTGTATAATTATAGAATCGATATGTCTAGTCTCATGTCGGTCTCCGCAACTTGTTGCAGTGTTATATACGAATGTATAGAGTTGAGAGTTATTGATAGCTGTCGTGGGAATAAACAATGCGCGATTATTATAGCGATTTATTGTTTATCATCGCGAAATGAAATTTATAAGGTATTCGTAGTATTGTACTTAAAAATGAAATGTGATGAATAATCTTGAAAATAGAATTTTTAAAATATAGAAAAAAAATTATATTATTTTTATTTCTATTTTTAAAAAGTTGTGGTTTAAAATTGTTTATATTTCTTTTAAAGATGAGGTAAAAGATCACATATGTTTAAAACTTGAGTATTTATCAGATATACATATTATGTTTTGATATGTTTCAGGTTTCAGACATTTGATAAAATTAACAAACGATCAACAAAGGAATAGATGAATCAGACGCCATCAATGAATTTCAACTATATCAATTTTAAAATATACGGTAATTACTTGCAAGGTATAAAATTTATGATATCCTATTTAAAATATTGTAAATTGATTATAGAATATTGTGATTTATCATGATCAGTTTTAAATTATAATATATGAAGATTATGATTGTATAGTATAAAAATGAAATACGATATACGTT